CAGATAAATAGGAAATCTGTTAATGATATCAAATATTTTATTCTTTGCCATCTATAAACAAGAAAAACAAAGGACATTTTGATAATTAATGTCATTCATCTCCCCAAAAAATCTTAGGAAGTTTCGATTTCTTCTAAAATACATCTTGCAGTGGAGACAAGGAACCTTAAAAGAGGCTGAGTGGAGGTGTTCTCATCCCATCTGGTCCCTTGGATGGCAGCTTTGAAAGCTTTAGCCCCAAGTCATGCAAACAGTAGTGGTAAAGTTAACAAGAAAAAAACATTTGCTTTAATAGAGATAGTGATGTGACACAAGTATCTTTTTTTTTTTAATTTTTATTAGTGACACACCATGAGGTACAGTTGTAGACTTACAAATTTTTGTGCTTGGGTTTCAATTATACAATGATCAAATACCCATCCCTCCACCATTGCCCATTTCCCACCACCACGGATCCCAGTATCCCTCCCACCCCCCCATCCCCCCCATCTTACCCTGCCTCTGTGGCAGGGCATACCCTTTTGTTCTCTCTCTCCTATTGGGTGTTGTGGTTTGCAAAAGAGGCAATGGGTGGCAATCATGTTTGGTCTATCTATCAAAACAAAAAGTGTTTAAGATATTCAAGCTGCACGTACTTTGTTTTACCACAAGAGGTCCCTAAATCCTGAATTCTGTTTGATTATACAGGCTGTTTATTTTTGTATCCAATTGCTGCTGTACTTTGCTGAGCGATAGCACAGCGGTAGGGCGTTTGCCTTGCACGCAGCCAACATGGCCGACCCGAGTTCGATTCCTCCGCCCCTCTCGGAGAGCCAGGCAAGCTACCGAAGCCTGGCAAGCGACCCGTGACGTATTTGATATGCCAAACACAGTAACAACAAAGTCTCCAATGGAGACGTTACTGGGCCCGCTCGAGCAAATCGATGATCAACAGGAGGGCCTTTACCTTTACCTTACCTTATTAATCAAACTTTTAACTGAGGCAGGCTAAACTTCTATTTTATAGAACATGCTTTTCTGTACTTTGTTATTAATTCCCTAAAATACCAGCACTTAAGGAAATGAGCTGGGGAAGCCAGGAAAATGAGTTAAAGTGGTAGTTAAGGCAAATTTCTTTAAAAGTTAAGTGAAAACACAGGCTTCTTTGTGGGTTAGGAAAAACAGGACTGTTTCATCTTTCATTTGTTTTAAAGTCCCTGCCCTATTCTATCTATTATTAGTAAATATAATTAAAAATTATGTTTTTTCAGTAGTCTAAAAATGAAAGGACACTTTAGATAGGATGACTAGTAGAATTAATAATACAGTTTTTGTTACCTGCTGCTAGATTATATATTTAAAAACTAAGTTATTACTTCCAGTACAAATAAATATAAATATTCCTGGTCTCCTCCTGCACCAATTCCTTTATCTGCGGAATATTGCGCCATTTCCAGCAGAAAGAACAACTTGCTACCTTCAGAGTTAATATAGAGGTGGGGGTTGGCGCGGGGAGATCATTTAATAGGCAAGTTCAGCATACCACACTGCACAAATTCTTCCTTTGGTTTAATATCTTCGTTTGTTTTAGTAATTAAGGTGAGTTTGTAATTCTGTCTCCTAACCCTTAGTGATTGGAGATTACTAGAGAACAAAAATCGTTTTTCCAGCTGCAGCCGGTGATCCTTTAACCTAAGAGCATCCCATGAATAGCATTGGATCAGACATTTACTAGTATTAGGCCTTGCCCTTTCTGGTTTGTTAATTACAGTCTAACTTGTGAGTAAAGCACAACCCTCATTATCTTAGCGAATAAATTTTCTGTAACTAAATTTGTACTTTTTTCAATTAGGCTTTTTTTTTTTTTGGTCACGCCTGGCTATGCACAGGGGTTACTCCTGGCTCATGCACTCAGGAATTACTCCTGGTGGTGCTTGGGGGACCATATGGGATGCTGGGAATTGAGCCCGGGTCGGCCACATGCAAGGCAAAGGCCCTGCCCTACCCGCTGTGCTGTAGCTCCAGCCCCTCAATTAGGCTTATTAAGCACTGTAGCACTGTCCTCCCGTTGTTCATCAGTTTGCTCGAGTGGGCCCAGTAACTGCCAAATACCAGTAACAATGACGGGTCTCATTCTCCTATCCCTGAAGGAGCCTTGAATATGGCACTTTAAAATCTCAGGGATAGGACGAAGGAGTCGTTATGGTGCCTGCTCGAGGCAATTGACGAACAACAAGATTATCGTGATCCTGATCGTGATTGGCCTCAGTAACATCTCCGTTGTGAGACTTGTTACTGTGTTTGGCATATCGAATATGTCACGGATAGCTTGCCAGGCTTTGCCGTGCAGGCGAGATACTCTCGGTAGCTTGCTGGGCTCTCCAAGAGGGGTGGAGAAATCGAACTCAGGTCATCCGGGTCAGCCACATGCAAGGCAAACGCTCTATCCGCTGTGCTATCGCTCCAGCCCAGGCTTATTAAGAAACTAATAAAATTAAATAAAATAGTACATTCCATTGCCACACCTACCAGCAGAGGGTCCCTCCCCCAAGGTCTCAAGGTCCCTCCCATGCTCTCGCCACAGGATTCTTGGTAATCTCAGTTCTGTAGGCCAGCTCACAGCTCCTGTTGGCTATTTGTTATTAACCTACTGTGTTTCTGTATTCTGCAAGTGAGAGAAATTATTCTGTAAAGTAGTTTTAAAATGCATGTGCTTTTAAAAAAATCAAAATGAACAGTAATTTTAGTAGTAATTTGTATTTTGATCACTAGATGGCACCAAATATACATAGCTAAGGAAAAAATGCCATTTAAAAAAATATTACTAGAGAAGTATAACCCTATAAATGTTTTCAGCATTTATGTACTATAAAGCTTTTTAGTCTGACCATAAAATTCCCATGGCTCTAAAAGCTGTTTCTGTATCTAGGTAAAATGATCTCATGTTTTGACTCTCAGCTAGAATAAATTCTGAAAGACGTGACTTCTGCATTACTCTGATGGTCACCTACACATCAATTTTTTATGCTTATTTGTTTAGTTTTTTTAATTTTCTCTTAATGGAGAGAAACTTCTCTGAAGGAGAAAACATTTTAACTTCCCTTTTCCCTTCCCTTTACATGATGCTGTTGTGATTACTGAGATCAGACTTTATACTTGACCTGCGCCCAAAAAGGGGTGGGTGGGGAGTGTTGCGGCATTTCTGGCCACAGTGCTTATACATTACAGTGTTTACACCATTAGTTGTAGTGCTTGTCAGGGATCACACATCTTTTATTGTGCTCACTGAGTGTGCACCAGAGATCACACAGTGCTGCAATGCAGAGGTTTCAGAGAGCCATGCTAGAAACTCACAGACAGCCCTGGAATCTAAAAGTAGGTGCTTTCAGTCACTGAGCCATGCCCTAGGCCGTGGTGTGTGTGTGTGTGTGTGTGTGTGTGTGTGTGTGTGTGTGTGTGTATGCATATGTATATATTAGGGGTCATTGTGTGTGTGTGTGTGTGTGTGTGTGTGTGTGTGTGCGCGTGCGCACACGTGCTTATGTATATAGTAGGGGTCATTGTATAGCCATGAAGATTTTAAGATTTTGAGAGATCCAAGATACTTAGACACAAATGTCCTGCTGGGCAAAATTAAAAAAATACAATTTTTTGTTTTGTTTATGGTCTAGTTTTCTTACATTGTAAAATTTTCTTTTGTTTAGTTAATTTAATTTAATGTATTATTTTTTAAATTTATTTATTTATTGAATCACTGTAGGAAAAGTTACAAAGCTTTCAGGTTTAAGTCTCGGTCATGCAATCATCAAACACATTTCCCTTCACCAGTACTTATTTTTCACCACCAAGAACCCCAATATACCCCCCTCCCAACCCTCCCAATGCCTGTAAGGTAGATGAATTCTAGTTAACACTATATCTACTTTGATTAGATTCATTGTTTTGACAAAAGGTGCACAAATATTATTTGAGTTTACATCCCAAAATCAGACCTGCTGAAAAGGCATTGTGAAATAATTTGTTTTCTACAGCTGGTTACAAGAACCAAATGATGATTTTGGATTTCTGATATTTTACTTATTAAGCCTGGAAGTATTTCTGCCGAGAGTCAGATAGTTATAAGATTGGTTTCTGTGGCTCTAGAGCCATGGCAGTGCACAAGAGCCGCTTGTGGGGGGCAACTCGTGACCTCGGTAGGGTGTGAAGGAGGAGCCGGGAATGCCCCCCTTCCCATGAGGTTTTAGTCGCCCCATCACGACCGGCTCATACCTGGCTTTCCCTGTTTAGTTAATTTTAGATCTGGTTATGGTAAATTCTCACAATGTTTTCTTTTCTGAGTAGAGATTATATAAGTTGCAAATAATAGATGTCCTTAATGTTGAAACTATATTTATGTTATCTTGTATCTTGGGCTCACACCCTTTGGGGCTGGGCAGCTACTTCTGACTCTGTGCTTGGGGGGGGTCCCAGATATCAAACCCAGGCCTGCTGCATGGAAGCATGCACTCAGACTATTAAGATGCCTCTTTACTACAACAAATATTTCTTAGATTTTAAAAATATTAATCCAGACTGGAGAGAGAGTACAGCAGATGAGGCACCTACCTTGCATGTGACCAGCCCAGATTCAATCCTAAGCCTGCCAAGAGTGATCCCTGCCCGTATAATCAGGTTTAGATCCTGGGCAAAGCCAGGTTGGGCAAAAACAAACAAATACTAATCACTTGACATTTCATGTGTAATCAGTTTTAAAATGCCTGTTATTATTTTTTAGTGTTAATTATGTTAAACATTTGTGAGTTTTTGTTAAATTATTAATAGATATTTATAGCTAACATTTCGAGTTAACACATTTTAAAGTACAAGGATTTTTGAGAAGTAGTAATGGATTTTATTGCTAGATTGTTCGAGTCTAGTTATTTTTATTTTAATTATGTCTGTAACTGAGATGAGCTTGTCTAGAACACACTGAGTCCAAAAGGAAAAACAAAGACAAATCTCATTATATTTTTATTTTTCAGAGAACTTTGGAATATATTTTCCAGAAATAAAAAGAGATCCAGGCAAGTATATACACAAATGTCCTGAATCTGTCAAGAAATGGCTCCGAAAACTAAAGAGTGCTGGGAAATTTCTCTTGCTGATCACCAGTTCTCACAGTGACTACTGTCGACTTCTCTGTGAATATATCCTTGGGTATGTGAAGTATCATTCCCTCTTCATAGTCTTTTAAAATACTGATAAGTGATGGCCAGATCGTTGTTTTAAGCAATCATGAGTACAGGTGGTTGTGTCTTATAACAGCAGCATCTATCCCACTGCATGTGCGTTTTAGTGAAGTGGTGTTCCTGGAGTATTCCTCAGGGTATACTGATCCTCTGAGCTTCAGATTTTCAGAAAGGTGGAGGATCATGTTTCCCTCAGGCATCTTCCTTGGATTTGGTTTCTTAGCTTTGATGATTACTGAGGAACACAAACTATAGATTATGCTCCCTAACATGCCCTGAGTACGACCTATCAATAACCATCTTAGTGTGGAGTCGCGTATTTCACCACTTAGCACAGGGATGAGACTGGACACTCTTGAAAATCAAGATAGTATAAACATGCAGACTTCAAATTAAGAAGGATATAAGTTCAAGCGCCCTGCAAGGAACTGCTATTTTCTGTTGGGTAGATTTATATATAAGCTTTAAGCCTGAATTATTTTAAAAGTTAGATTGATGGGTTCCAGAGTCAAAACACTGAGAGTCCAGCTGCCAGGCTTCTCTTTATGTGAGTACCAGACTTCAGGATAAAGGAGGATGAAGAGCCTGTCTCGGTGCACACACCTGCATTTAAGATGTTAGATCCAAAACCCAATCATGAAAGCTTTGTTAACTGTATCTCATGGTGATTTGATTTGAAAAAAGAGAAAGAAAGAAAAACACAGGAAACAACCAGTTCTGGAAGTGATGCAGAAAAAGAGGGACTTTTATGCACTGTGGTGTGAATGTTGTCTGGTTATGGAAAACAGAGTGGAGATTTCTCTAAAAAACGGCACTTGATCATTGTATAACTGAAACCCAAGCACAAAATTTGTAAGCCTATAACTGTACCTCATGGTTTTTCACTAATAAAAAAAGAAAAAAAAAACTAAGAATCATGCTTCCATAAGACTCAGGCACTGTACTTGAAATCTGTCCTTCAAATACAAAAACATTTATTTGAAATGATAAATGCTCCTATATGTTCATTGTTGTGCTTAATACAGTAGCCAGGATATAGTAACAATCCAAAGAAAGACAAATGGATAAAGGAGTTGTGGTATATGTACATAATGGAATATTATGTAGCCCTGTATATGCCCTTATTTTAGAAAACTCTGTGGTCATTAAAAAGAGTAAAGTGGAATAGGATAAAGGAAAGGAAAGGAAGAGGTGGACTAGATGTGATATAGGGTGAATGGACACTTGAAGGTGTAGTAACTATATGCATCTATCTCATAAAAGTTAACATTATTGTAGCCATCTTAAAATAAAGTAATTTTTTAAATTGAAACAGTAAGGTTCAAGAGATAGTATAGAGGAAAAAGCACAGCCAACCTGGGTTTGATCTCTGACACCGCATATCTTCCTTCACGTGCTATCAGGAGGGACCCTAAACAGTGAGTCCCTTAGCACCTTACTGGGTATGTTCAAAGCAAAACAAAAAGTGAGACAGCAATACCTCAAATATGGACCATCATCAGAGTAAAACTCTCTAAAGTGAACTGTTACAGCTGGAGATGTAGCACAGGGCTTATGGCACTTGCCTTGCACGTGGCCAGCTCTCACTCAACCCCTAGCACCACAGGGACCTTTTAGTACTGCTGGGATTCTCCCCCAAGCACACCAAGTATGTCTCTCAAAATCCCTTTCAAAAATAAAAAATAGTTTTTATATAAATAAAATTAAATGAGCTACTAGATCTCTGCTAAAGTTTCCTCATATTTCAGCTAAGCTTCTATGGAATAAATTTTAACCTCATAAATGACCTCTGGCTAACATTTTAGCCTCCTGATTTTTTTCTTTTTTTCTTTTTTTTAAAATTTTTATTAGACACCATGAGGTACAGTTGTAGACTTACAAATTTGGTGCTTGGGTTTCAATTATACAATGATCAAGTACCCATCCCTCCATCAATGCCCATTTCCCTTAACCACGGATCCCAGTATCCCTCCCACCCCCCATCCCTCCCAATCCTACCCTACCTCTGTGGCAGGGCATTCTCATTTGTTCTCTATCTCCTTTTGGGTGTTGTGGTTTGCTAAAGAGTCTTGGGAACATAAAGTAACAAAATAGGAGACTAACACCCAAGAATGGCCAAGATTAGTACCAGGAATTTTGCTCCATGACTTGGAGGCCAGCCACACATGCTAGGGGAAAAGGCAGCTCAGATAGAGAAGGGAGCACATGATTGCCACTCAAAGCCTCCTAATTTCTATGTTTGATTGTTCTTTAGGATTCCTAAAGGCTGTGCATAGTTTTTCTGGTTTCTGGAGCTATGTATATTTGGGATTCTTAAAATAAGGTTGAGTTCTCAAGAGTTTAGAAGGTACCTTATTTGCCTTGCTAACAGTGACCTTGCTTCAAAATAAACATTCAGGTTCTTAACTTCTTTTTCTTTAGTATAGATAACCAACCATTTCTTCCTCTTTTCTCCTTACTGTAATTTTAATTCATAAAATATGTTTGTGATAAATTGATGTATAAAAATAATATTGGGGAAATATTCTTTCCACAGTACATTAGTGAGTCCACAACAATGACTGTGTTGTTTTAATTATGGAGATGATTTTCGGCCACATCTGGTTGTGCTCTGGGGCTACTCCTGGTTGTGGGCTAAGTCTTCTCTCCTGCAAGTGCCCAAGGGACCATAGTCAGTGCCAGGAACTGAATCTCAGTCTCCATGCTATCTCTCTGGCTTCCAGAACCACAAGTTTTCCTTTGCCATCCCAAGTAATCCTTAATTTCCTGACTTAAATCCATTATTGTTATCTAAAAATTGCCGAGTTATATGCCCATACCAATTTTCTAAACAAACTATCTTCTTCCTTTTTGGAACACTCTTTGAAAGATATGACCTGACTTGATACAATGCTAGGTTTCTGTCAGACACATACAATACAAAAATGACTAATACTCTACAAGCTCATATATCCAAACAATTGTGAAAGCAAGAGCTCATAAATATTTCTGATTGCTAGAAAGTATTGATTTGGGGCTGGAGGGATAGCTCAGTGGACTACAGAGTGCATGTTTTGCATTGAGGAGACCTGAATTTTATCCCTGTCACCAAGGTGGGAGTGGCCCCTAACCACCCCAGCTGTGGCCCATAAACCAAAGGGAAAAGAAAGAAAATTCAGCTACTCTACCTACTACAAAAAAGGGAACTCCAGCTTTGCAGTATGAGTTAATGTGCTGTTTTTGCTTAGGTTTATATTTCAAGGATTGTCAGGAAGACTGGTGCTCTGACACCTTCTGTTTCCAGTATAAGACTCATGCTGAAATTTAGAGAAAGCATGTAAAATTAATTACGGGATAAGAAATGATACTGAGTCAATCAGGTAAAGGTGAAATTTTGTAAAAATCGTTTTTAATGCCTTAACATAAATTTCTGAAAAATTTTGTTGCTCTATAGGAATGATTTTCCAGATCTTTTTGACGTTGTGATTACAAATGCATTGAAACCTGGTTTCTTCTCCCATTCACCAAGTCAGAGACCTTTCAAGACACTTGGTAAGCTATATTTTACTTCTTTTATCTCCCATTTAAGAAAGCAATTCACTTAATTGCTCAATAAACACCTATTAACTAGCAATCACGTGCTAAGTACAATGTTAGATGCAATATCTTCTTTTCCCTCGTGGGGGAGTAAGAAGAGTACTTATATTTCTATTAAATTTTGCTTTGCTGCAGTGTATCATAGTTACTTGTTTGTCAGTCTCTCCTTAGCTTAAAAAATAAAGGACATGGACTTTACTTTCACTTAGGGGGCCTAAATAAGTGCCTCAGCAGGTATTTGAGGGATGAAATGACTGTATTGAGGGTGGATTTTTATGGAGAACAAAAAAAGTACCTGTAGAATACATGATTGTTGTTTTTTTTTAAGTCAGTCCTCAGAATAGGAAAGCCCTTTGAGAAAGGTGATTAGAATGACTGCCCATGTAGAAGAAGCTAATGCTGAGGTGAAAAGAGTGAATTAATTATTCAAATGAAAAAGAATGGGAATAGCGGAGTGAAGCATTCATAATAAGTGGTCAGCTCAAGTTTGTTGACTAAATGTTAAATTAGTAAGAGCAGTGCCTTATCAGACATAAGAGAGTTAATAAATTTGGGAGTGAAAGCAGTGAGTTTAGTTGTTGATTCTGTTTTATATTATTTCTAAAGGAGATGCCAAATAGCTTCAATGACAGATATTTAACAGTCATTTAGAAATTTGCTGAGATTATATAATTTGATGATTATATAAAATAAGCACAGGAAAGCCTGAAACTTGAAGCACTCTGAATGCTTGTAAATGTATATATGTGTGTTTAAGGATATTAACAACTAAAATTTATAGCCCTGGGTTAAAAAGAAAATAGTATGGGGTTGTGACAGTAGCCACATACTGGGACTGAGAGGTACATATGGTGCATGTGTGGGAATCTGAGTTCAATCCCCAAAATTGCAGCAGTGACCCTTCCACAACCACCCCACCTCCACCCTGCCCCCACCTCATCATCTCTGGGCACTGGTTAGCCCCAAGGAGTGCTTAGGTGTGATCCTTGTGGCTCCTGGCACCTCTGGGCCTGAGCACTAACAGTCTCTGGCCTAGAAGGCTGAGCATTTTTTGGAGTAGTCCTGGGACCCTTGTAGACACTGCTTGGAATGTCTCCAAAAAGAGAATGATGCTAAGTGAAATGAGTCAGAATGAGAGGGACAGACATAGAAGGACTGCACTTATTTGTGGAATATAAAATAACAAAATGGGAGACTAACACCCAAGGATATTAGAGATAAGGACCGGGAGGATCGCTCCATGGCCTGGAAACTGGCCTCACATGCTGGGGGAAAAGGCAGCTCAGATAGAGAAGGGGCCACCAAGTAAAGGTTGCTTGGAGGGCCCGCTCGGGATGGGAGATGTGTGTTGAAAGTAGACTATAGACCAAACATGATGGCCAATTAATACCTGCATTGCAAACCACAACACCCTAAAGGAGAGAGAGAGTAAAAGGGAAATTCCGTCTGCCACAGAGGCTCATGGGAGGGGAAATGGCGGAGGGATACTGGGAACATTGGTGGTGGAAAATGGGCACTGGTGGAGGGATGGGTACTCGATCATTGTATAACTGAAACATAAGCACAAAATTTTGTAAGTAACTGTACCTCACGGCGATTCATTTTAAAAAAAGAGAGTGATATGAAAAATGAGCAGACAGATTATGTAGAAAATACATGTAAATGTCCACTATAATAAATGCTTATAAATGCTTTTTAATATACCTTTGATTCGGGTGCTGGACAGTTTTTATAAATAACCTGAACCAATATGGACATGATATTTAACATGTATATGGGTCTTCTCACTTTCTCATAGCCATACCGGACCTCATTTGAAAATTTAATTAAAAATTCTGCAAACATAAATCACAATGCCCAAAAGAGAGAGGGAGGGAGGGGGGAGGGAGCACCTGTCATAGAGGCAGACTGTGTGGTCGCCGGGGGTTGGGGGGGGCGCTGATGAGAGGGAAACTGGGGACACTGGTGCTGGAAAAATACACTGTTGAAAGGATGGATTTTGGAACACTGACTAAAACATATGGACAGCTTTGTAAGGGTCTATCTCACAATGATTCAGTTTTAAAAAATAATAAAATTTGGCAAACACATTTGTTGCAGCAATTAATACAGTATGAAAACAACCCAAAAATGTTCAATGACATAAATGTAATCACAATGTATATATACAATGGATACAGTTACATATATACAGTGAAATCCTATGCAAGCCATAAGAAAAGATGAAATCTTTCCATTTGCTGTAATACAGATACAACTGAAAGGTACCATGTTAAGGGAAATTAAGTCAGAGAGAGGGCTACAGATCCCTGGTGAGCTCACTGTTTTATGGTTCATAGAGAAACAAAAAGGGGCAAGGGAATAGGCATTATTGAATGATGACAAGACCTTGATTTTGGATTACAAAAACTCAGATTACAAAGCAGTAGGGAGAGAAGAAGGGGGAGGCAGGGAATGAAGAGTTGGGCTGTAGGTGGCACAAGGACACAGGTGGAGAATCATGGGCACTTTGGTGGCAGTGAGGTGCAGTAACTTTCTACATCCATCCCATAGATGCAAATACTATTATAACCATATTACCTAAACTAATAAGTCCTCAGGTAAATCGCACATCCTAATTCTATTTATATTGAAGATTGCAGAATTCATTGCATATGAGAATTATCTAGAACAATGATTTTTCCCTGTGGAAATTTTTCTGTCAAGTAGGTGGAGGCCAAGGATGTACTGAAGAGCCTACAACACAGACAGCACTCCAACAACCATCAACGAAGACTAATTTGATACCCAATTCTCAGTAGTGCCCAGAGAAATCCTCGCCCGGCAGAATGGGAGAATTTGACAATGATTTTTACAGTGGCTTAATGCTATATAAATCATTGATATAAAGAAATTAAAGAGTCTGTTGTCGGGTATTTAAATAATTCTCTGTAATTACCACCAAAAATTTGCTGTTTCCCCTCTTTACAAAGTTATATTTAAGTACTAAAAAAAGTACTCAACAAAGGTTTGTTTTTATTTTTACCTGAAGAATTTTTATATTTTGTACCCAGAAAATTTATACTTTTTTAAAATATAACTGAAATAGTGCCAATTTATTCACAGTTCTATAATTCAGATTTCTGACCTTTATTCGGGGTATCTTAAGGCAGAAATGAAGATGTCAGTTGAGCTGAGCTTTCTTAGACAGTCCTGACAAAAACATTCACTTCCAGATTTATTGTCATTGTTCCCAGAGGTGTTTTTTTGGGGGGTGGCGTGGAGGGGGGAGTCCCTGTTTCCTTTTTTTCCTTTTTTAAATTTTAATGTAGGAGTACTGCTATTTATTCAGCCATTGATTAAGCTGATTGAATTGGGCATGAGCTCCACATTACTTTTTTTTTTTATCTTTTTAATTGAATATCCGTGAGATAGACCTTTACAAAGCTGTTCATAGCTGGGGTCCCTGTTTTCTTGATGGCCACAAGCAAAGTCATGCTCAACTCCTAGTGGCCTCTCACAGTTCTGCCAAGGTGACCTCCTTTCACATAGCAGCTGCCTCTTTCAGACTTCGGGAGATGTTACTGCAACTTTGAAACTCTGACTTCCACCAATCTGAGAAAAATGTCAGCTCTCCAAGAGCTTACCTGATCAGTTCAGGGCCATCCAAAAATACTTAACATAATTGGAGTATAATGTCTCATAATCACGGGTTTCACCCATACCCTAGAAGAGAGGAGAGGATTGTGTAAGGATGGAGGTCATTAGGAATTATGTTAGGATTCTGACTGCCGGTTTTATTCTATTTTTTTTTAATTTCATATGGTTAATAACGATGCCACGATACCTGTTTTATACTTGATCTTACTTAGACCTTCTCACAGATTTACAGAGGGGATAGAGTGGTTTCCAGTTGGCGCTCAAGGGGTTAGAGGCCAGTGCCAGTGCTTCTCAGCCAACCTAGCCTTGGTTCAGTCGAGGACTTGAGATGCGGGCTGCTTGACCCTGCAGTGCGGGGTCTTACTATGATGGTGCTTTGGTGTCTCCAGGGTAACACTCAACATTGCTCAGGAGCCTCAGTTTCACACAGTGATGCTTAGTGGGCCATGTGGTGCCAAGGATCAAACCAGGGTCCAGTGCCTACAAGGCATGCATCTTAATTCCTTTTCTCTCCCTTTAGCCTCCCTCACAAAGATTTTTATTGAAATTTAGTGCGGACATACTAGTAATATAAAACAAAAGCACACTAAATATATACCAAACATTTGACATAGTTGAGATCATAAATGCATTATGTCATATTAACAAGCTACCACATTTTTATGCAATGTTTATTTAATAGAATATTATCCAGAAGTACAGCATAAACGGTTTAAAAATTACAGTCATTTGGAAATACTTACTCTGAAGCATTGGGATCCTTATGGGAGGGAGGGAGGTACACTGCTGTTGGAATTATGTACATTGGAAGACACAATTAACAATATTGTAAATTATAGTACCCCAGTAAAACAGATGAAAGAAGTACTTATCCTACAATTACTTATCCTATGATTTCTTTGTAATATCAGATTGTACTTGAGGCTTGATATAAAGATGGTTATCAAAGTGGTTTTCGGATATATTCACCTAAAGCTTTGATGAAGTGTATTAATTGGATTTATAGTACAAATGTTAAAAATCTTAACTTTAAAAAATGCTTGTGTTAAATACTCCTTTTTAAAAAAATGTTTGTATTCTACAGAAAAATGAGTTCTCAAAAATCAGTTCTCAAAAAGCAAAGCAGTATACTACTTTCATTTCCTTTTGTTTCAGGGATGAAATTGGAACTTTCAAAACTGGAACTCAGAAATTGAATTCAAAAAATTGAATTCAAAAAATTGGAATTTAAAATTGAGTTCTCAAAAGCAGTTTACTGCTTTTCATTTCCTTTTGTAGTTTCAGAGATGAAATTGGAACTCAATTTCTGGTTGATG